ATCATGTCATCAGCATAGAGGGATAATTTTACCTCCTCGTTGCCTATTTGGATACCTTTTATTCCCTTCTCTTGTCTTATTGCTATTGCTAAGACTTAAGAATTCATTTTAATGAAAGTTTACAGACACTTAGGGTTTCCAGTCATTTATTGTTACAGTTTTCTCCCTGCCCACCTCTTCCCCCCAATTCACTCTTCTTGAAAAGAAAGAAAAACTCTTTCATTGTTATGCAGTCCCTCCCCCCTAAGTCCACTCTGAAAGTTTACAGAGATTTTGGATTTCCAGTCATTCATTGTTGCAATTTTCTCCCTGCCCATCCCTCCCCCCAAATTCACTCTTCTCTTTGAAAAGTAAAAGAAAAATTATTTCGTTGTTATACAGTACCTCCCCCCCCCAAGTCCACTCCACTATGCAGCCTTCATTCTGGACTCCTGTCATGACAATAAAATTAAGCCACATAGACGTAAATTTACTCAAGATCACACAACTAGAAAGATGGCAAGCCAGGGTTCAAGGCCAAGGAGCCTTATCCTCAGAACTACTGGTGCTCCTACTGGTGCCCCTACCCACTTAACCCCTCCGTATCTGGGTCTGCTCTCCAGCCCCTGGCTCCCAAGGACCCCTTGCCCACTGGCCTTCTCCCAGAGCAGAGGGGGACCACTTTGTCTTTGTGGGATGAAGAAAGGCCCATGACAGTCAGCTCTTGGGTAGAACCTCCAAGAGCAAGGCTGAGGGCTTTGCTGAGATTTCTGTCATCTCACTCAGTTCATCCCCAGAGCCCCTCACCTCCCAGGTGGCTCTCCAGGTCATCCCCTCTCCTCTATCCCGTCTCAGTCTTTCATCTCAGCGTAAATTACCTTCCTCTCTCACCTGAATGACCACATCAGGCCCTTTCATCGAGCAGAGGCAACTTTTCACATTGCAAAGCCAATTAGGATTCACTGCTCCTTTTGCCCTTTTCCCTTAGAACCCCTCCAGTGACTTCCCACTGCTGGGGATGGGATCCATGACCTGACTTCCCACTGCCAGGGATGGGGTCCAAGTCCTGACTTCCCACTGCCAGGGGGATGGGGTCCACGTCCTGACTTCCCACTGCCAGGGATGGGGGTCCAAGTCCTGACTTCCCACTGCCGGGGGGATGGGGTCCTCATCCTGACTTCCCACTGCCTAGGATGGGGTCCATGTCCTGGCTTCCCATTGCCGGAGATGGGGTCCACATCCTGACTTCTCACTTTGGGGGATGGGGTCCACATCCTGACTTCTCACTGCCTAGGATGGGGTCCAAGTCCTGAGTTCCCACTGCCGGGGACGGGGTCCACGTCCAAAGTACTTTGTGAGGTGGTCTCAAATCCTCCCCCTAACCTCTCACAGATTCATCTTACCCTGAGGCTAGATCAGGTGTCCCCATAAGGCATAATCACAACTGCCTGCACTTTTTGCACTTTTCTTTCCTTCATTCTGTTTGACATTAGGGTACAGCAGACAAGGAAGGGTTAAGGGTGGGACCTTGAAGTCAGACTACTCAGGTTCAAGTTCCAGGTCCTCGCCCCCACCCAGCAACTCAAACCACTGTGTGTACTCGGCCAGCAGTAAGATGAGTGCAGAGGTAGTGGCTACTTGATAGGGTTGTTAAGAGGACTAAATTTGCTGATAATTCTAGAAACCCCTAAGACAGTACTAGGTAGACAGTAAACATCTCTCAGTCTTGTTTATTAGGAAGGTTTGTCTATTGGAGTGTTATTTTGACAAAAAAGTTGTTGAGGGACTAGCTGAGTGCTGGGAGACCCCAGCTCCCCCAGCACAGGGCATCCCCTCTCTCTCAGCCTCGCAGGGAACAAGTTGGAAGATGAAGGCTGTCGATTGATGGTAGAAGCTGCCGCCCAGCTGCACATCATTCAGAAACTGGAGTAAGTTGCCTACTCCACCCATGGGTAGAAAAGGTCCATGAGTGCCCCAGCCTGTTCCACCACCCCTGGCTTCTACCCTCACTCTCACCAAATACAGCATTGTCAAGTTCATTTCCTTAACAGAAGTCTTCCCCTCCAGCAGTACTGTCTGTTTTCTCTCCTGACTCCAGCACAGTTAGAATGGTTTGACCATGCCTTGTCTTTGCACCTAGCAAGAATCATTGCACTGGGACAGCATAGGAGTATGGGGTGAATGAGTGCCAGAGTGTTGAGTTAGAATGTTGAGGTAGGAGGTGATGTATTAGAATGCCAAGTTAAGCATTGGAGCAAAGGGGTAGGTTTTGGGGTGGTGGAATGGGAATAGGGATGTTGGGTTATTTTGTGTGCTGGGGTACTGAGTGGAGGCGGGTGGGTTGGGCATGAGGTTTGGGTGAAACATGTTGGGATCTTAAAAGCAGATTGACAGTAACAGTTGTAACCACAATGATTGCCCCAATTGTAGGATTTTCTCAGCTGTCACCACCGTTAGATAATATTTTGTTGTCAAGTTAATTCTGACTGAATGTGATTCTATAGGACAAAGTAGTCTGGCCCATCGGGGCTTCCCAGGCCACAGAAGACTTCACGGCAGCCTGCGTGATGCAGATGACCCAACCTAGCTTGCAGAAATTGAAGAGGAATTGAAACACTTGCTGCAGAAGATTAAAAATTATATCTTTCAGTATCTTTTCAACATCAAGAAGAAAAAAAATCTTCACCACTGAACCTATGGGTAGCATTACTATAGATGGAGAAAAGCTTGAACTTGTCAAGGATTTCATTTTACTTAGATCCACAATCAACACCAAGGGTAAAAGCCATCAAGAAGTAAAAAAAATTTATAATAATGTGTTGCATTGTTTCAGGACCTTTACAAGGGCCTCTCCAAAGTTCTACAGAGTGAAGATGTCAGTTTAAAAACCGAAGTGTGCCTGATCCAAGCCATCGTTTTTCAATTGCTTCATATGCATCTGAAAGTTAAATAGTGAATAAGGATGAGAGAAGAAGACTTAACACCTTTGAGTTGTGGTGTTGGCGAAGTGTAATTTATATCCCATGGATTATTAAACAAGCAGGACTGTTATAGAAGTGTGACCAAGGATGGAGAGACTTGGATTACAAGGATGTAATGGTCCATTACAACTGAAAGTCTTCTGAGCACAAAAGGAAACTGAGACCAGAAAGGTCAAAATAGTAAGTGGGTTCTAGTTGTTCAAACCAGAGAACTTTAGAGTTCTGGCAGCCTTGTGGTAAGAAGCTGCGCTGCAATCCTGAAGACACACAGTTCGAATCCACCAGCTGCTCTGTGGAAGAAGGATGGGCATCCTCCTCCTATGTGATTAAGAGCCTCTGAAAACCCCCCCTGGGCTGTCAGTTATGGGTCGGTTCTGACTTGATGGTACATAACAAGTGAGAAGCTTATTCTCCGTGAGTCAGGCAGTGGACCACGTCACATGGACTAGAATTAACCCCTTGTTAGAGTCCTGGGATATTTCAAGTGACAGTAAACTGCAGAGCCACGGGAAGGGGCTTCCTGAGCTGGGGGTCCCTGCTGCTGGCCAACAGTTGGCTCTTGTATCCTTTCCGCAGCCTCAGCGACAACAGGCTCTCTACGTCAGGCGTGTGCTCTGTGCTGAGCGCTGCGAGGACCTGCTCAGCCCTGGCAGACCTGCACATCAGGTAGGAGCACGTGGTGGGCTCAGCTTGGAAGAGGGGTCTGAACTGTGGCACTGCTGACTTTCCAACCGGCTGCTGTCAGGGGACCTCATGTGGGTCGGAGTGGAACTGGACTCCACGGGTTTCAAAGACTTCAGCAGATTTCCAGGCTTTTTTCTGAGGCTCCTCTGGGTGGACTCAAACTTGCAGTCTTTCAGTTAGCAGCCAGGTGTGTTAGCTGTTTGCATCGTTCAGGGATTCATGTAAGTTACAGGCGTGCATCACTTCACATCCACAATGAGTTCTGCAAAATAGGGTCCCATGCAACTTGGACACTGTGTGAACACATGAACAGTGGTCCCCATGCAATCTGTGGTTCAGTCCCAAGAAAGCCTATCGTATTAAACCTTAGAGGAGCCTACGAGACAGAAGGCCAAGAGCTGTATTTGCTGGATGCAGAAGACGATCTTGCTGGGTACACGCCTGGGCTAACAGTTGGAACAAGGCTGTACATATTTGGGAAAGGGGCACATAAAAGGGGGGGTGCAAAGAGGAGACTGTAGGCACCAAGTGTGGAGGTGCCGGGAGCACAGCTGCTGGTGGCAGCTCTGGCTGCTGCCACCCTATTGGTTCTGGTCACATGCAGCTGCTGCCTGGAGCCAGGAACGGGTGCCACCAACACCCACAGTGGAAGCGGAGAGGCTGCGGCAGGTGCTGCCTTCCACAGGGAGGACACATGGCAGCTGGGCGAGTGAATGAGGCGAGAATGGAGAAGGCAGAGGAGGTGGGACTGTGGGGATTGGCATGCACCCTGGAGCCCCAGGGCTGTTTTGTCCTAAAATTTGGTGTCTCTTAAAAAAATATTATTATAATTTTAATGAAAGTTTACAGAGACTTTGGATTTCCATTCATTCTTTTCTCCCTGCCCATCCCTCCCCACCTCCAGTTCGCTCTTCTCTTTGAAAAGTAAAAGAAAAATTCTTTCATTGTTGTACAGTACCTCCTACCAAGTTCACTCCACTATGCAGCCTTCATTCTAGACTCCTGTCATGACAATAATACCTAATCATATATCCCTTTTAAACAGTTCTCTCCCTCATCTGTTTCAATACAGTATACATTATTTAACCCATCTTTCTCAGTCTCCCTCCAACCCCGATGTCAGTCCTGTCTTACAACAGTGGCACTATGCAGTATTTGTCCTTTTGTAACTGAGATATGTCACTCAGCATATCTTTAAAACTATTAGACAACGTGGAGATGAGAAAAACTAGAATGGTGCTGACCACACTCTGAAAGGGATCCTGATTGTGGGGCCGGAAAATGTGGAACAATTTACTATCAGAATAGTAAAACAAACCCAGCTTGCTGGTCTGATAGGGACTGGTGGAACCCCCTTCTTTCCTCCAGACTGTGGCCCACAAACACCTTTCAAATCTGGAATTGAATTTACTCTTGTGACTCTCAACTTTCAGCCAAACAGTGGATAGGCCTACAAGGGTAACACCACAACCAGGGAGGTACTAACTCCTTCAACAGTCAAAGTCAGTCATACAAGGTCGGTTTTACAGAGATAAAGCTCAGGAAGGGATAAGAAAGCAAGATGAACGGAAGTGGAGAGAGGTCACTGTGGAGATCTCAATCAGTGGGATAGAATGTGTATGAATTATTGGATGGAAAACCAATTTGTAAACTTTCATCTAAATCACAAGGAAAAAAAGTTTTTTAAAGGGGAAGAGAGGATAGTAAACAGAAAGGAGAATTGATTTCCCTTAAAACCAAAACAAAAACGAGCCTCTTTTTGCAACCACAGATAACATTTGGATGTTGCCTAATGGGATGAGTATGCCAAGTTTGCACGTGTGTCTCAGTAAAACTAGAGACAAGGAAATATTGATAATGTTCTCGAGAAAGGAGGCTATGTTGTGTCAAGTCACTTCTAACGCAGAGCAGCCCTGTATGACAGAGTTGAACTCCCCATGGGATCCCCTCAGCCACCCTCTTTACTAGAAGGGGTTATCAAGTCTCATCTCCTGTGGAGCCACTGGTCGGTTCAAACTGCCGACCTTCCAGTAGGCATCCAAGCACTTAGCCAGTGTACCACCAAGGATCCTTAAAGAAAATTGCTGCTGCTGCTGTTGTTGTTGTTGTTATGTGCCATCAAGCCACTTGTGACTCATAATGACCCTATGTACAAAAGCACTGAACCCTGCTCTATACCGAGCTCATTGTCTCCGACACACCTACCCTCATTATCCCAGTCACTGAATCAATCCATCTCATAGAAGGTCTTCCTCTCTTGTGCTGTCCCTCCACATTCCCAAGCATGACATCCCTCTCCAAGGACCTGTCTCTCCTTGAAGCATGTCCAAAGTATGTCAGATGAAGCTTCAGAATCCTTGCCTCCAAGGAGCAGCCTGGTTTCACCCTCTCCGGGACAAACCTGTTTGTTCTCCTAGCAGTCCATAGTATATTCAATACTCTTCCCCAGCACCACAGCTCAAAGGCATCAATTCTCCTTCTATCCTCCTTAGTCATTGTCTAGTTTTCTGATGCATAACAAGTAGTGGCAAAGCTACAGACCCCTAAAAAAGTCCAAACAACTTGAAGAGCCCACTCAGAATGTTCATAGTGATATACAATGTATGAATGCTTGTTTTGCTTTTATTTTCTTGTATTTTTTAAGTTTTCCACAAAGAGGGAGTATGACTTTTCATAAGAAGTCCAAATGGAAGTTCCATTTGCAAAGGCAAAAAGCAAGTTGACTTTGTTACAAATGACAGTCCCTTCTAGACCCACAGTGTCTGAGCCCGGTACTGGCAGTATCTTCCCTCTGCTGGGGCATGGTACAGCTGAAAGTCTTCTGAGCATGAGAGGGATTCCTGCTGACAGAGAGAGGAAGGTTTCAGTCTGAGACCCAAATTAGAAAGCATCTTGTAGAGTTTAAGTTTACTCTCAAGAAACGCTTGGCAGGAAATGAGGGCAATGTGTATAATCGTTGGTTGTGAATAGAGTTGAGAAAATTGTGGTATGAAGAATTGAGGCTCTTGAGGTTTGAGGGGAAGTCAGAGGAAGCCTCCTGCAGCTGGAGGCAGGGGGCTGAAATGAAGCAGAGTAGCAGGTGCAAGTGAGCCTCTCAATCTCCTCACTCCTCATTCCTCTTACTGTCTGCAGCCTCCTGGACAAAACGGCTATACTCACATTCGCCCAGGGGCTGGAGGAGGAGGAGGGGACCCAGAAGAGGTAGGACTGCACATCCTTGCTGAGGCCTGGTTGGGAGGACCCTTGCTCCCTGACTTTCACAGGTGGGAGAGCTGCCAGACATGTGGGAGACCTTGATGAATTCTTGAAGCTACAGGGAGCCAGCAGGTTTTGTAGAAGATGCAGCACTAGAGTGAGGGTCAAAGGGCAGACTGCTTCCCTATGTCCAAGAGTCTGAGGTGCAGGATGAAGACCAAAAGTGAGGGAGCCAGTGTGCTGTTAAGAGCCCAAGACCCTTCAGCTTAAGCCTGGGGTTGTCTGGCCTCCAGTTCTGATCTGTTATTGGAGCTTTGGCCTTCATTAGGATGAAGACCCTTTGAGATAGTTGCTTCCTCCAGGTAGCCTTCCTGGCTCGCCCCAGCACAGCTCATGGGGCTCTTTGCTTCTTGGAATTTACCCACAGTCTCTTCAATAGAATCTAAACTATTGATGCTCTTTAAAGACATTGGTAATGACATCATGAGACTGATGTCAAAAGAGCTACTGTTGAGTCAGCTCTGACATATGGTGACCCTATGTGTGTGTCAAAGTAAAACTGCAATCCTTAGGGTTTCTGTGGTTAATAGTTCAAAAGTCATTTCCACGTCACCTCTTGGTGGATCAACCAGCCAGCTTTTTGCTCCTAGCTAAGCACTGTGGTGTTTGTACCACCCAAAGACTCAGGCAATAACAGTCAAATGGAGCATTCACTATGCACCAAGCATCAAGCTAAGGCATTAGCTCAGCAGGGGGTTAAATGACTTGTCCAAGGTCAATAGCAAACCAAATTAGAACCTGATTTGAGGCTGAGTGTGGCAATTGAAAGTTGGAAAGTGAACTTGAGAAAGGATTCAGAGGCATGCATTGGCTCAGCATACCTTAGTGTGTGTCCCTCCAGGGCTACATTTCTGGACAGCATCCTTCCACAGATGCCCTCAGAGCTGCCCTTGAACTCCATAAGGATCAGGTATAGTGACTGCCTTTTGCACTGTGTGTGTGTGTGTGTGTGTGTGTGTGTTCCACTCATTTTCTTTGCGCACCCCAGGACCCCAAATCCCAATACTCCCTACATGAGGCCATGACTTATTATGGTCAGGAGTTGCAGCCACAATTCACTGCCCCCTTCCCTGCTTGGTTCACTTCCAGGTGAGTTCACGAGCCTGAACCCTCAGTCACCACAATGTCACCAAGCAAGAGGCCTCCTGCCCTTATTTAGCTCCCCTGATTCCCAGCAGCTCAGGTTTCTGGGAAACTGCAGGAAGAAGTAAGGGAGAGTTTGACTCTTTTCCTTTTTCCAAGCCCAAGGCCAAGGACTGGGAGCTCAGTTAGTCCTTGGTGCACTTTGAACATACTTGTGTCTCCCTCTCACTCGTTTGCTCTTGCTATCTCCTTCTGTCCTGCTCCTTGTTCTTGTTGTTATGTGCCGTCGAGTTGCTTGTGACTCATAGCGACCCTATGTACAACAGCCCAAAACCCTGCTCTGTCCTGTGCCAATCACACTGTCTCCAACACACCCACCCTGATTACCCCAGTCACTGAATCAATCCACCTCATAAAGGGTCTTCTCCTCCTGCGCTGTCCCTTCATCTTCCCAAGCATGATGTCCATCTCCAAGGACTGGTCTCTCCTCACAACATGTCCAGAGTATGTCAGGCGAAGCCTCAGAATCCTTGCCTCCAAGGAGCAGCCTGGTTTAACCCTCTCCAGGATGAATCTGTTCATTTTCTTAGCAGTCCATGGTACCCACAATACTCTTCTCCAGCACCACAATTCAAAAGCATCAATTCTCCTTCTATCCTCCCTAGTCATTGTCCAACTCTCTGACACATAACAAGTGATTGCAAAGACCATGGCCTGTATCAGATGTACCTTAGTCTCCAGAGAGACACCATTGCTCTTCAGTACTTTCCTGCTCCTTGTTGTTGTTGTTATGTGCCGTCGAGTCACTTGCTCCTTAGATCTTCATATTTTCTGTTTCTCTGTCTCTCCTCTCCTCTCCCCTTGTTAGTCTCATCTGTCTGACTTCTTATTGACTGACTCTCATTCTCTTCCTCTCTGGGTCTCTGAGTCTGTCTCCTGGTATGTGATGTGTTTGGTGTGTGTTGGTCCTTCTTTGTTAATCTGTATCAGTGCTGGATGTAGCCAGTCCCTCTTGTGCACACATCACTTTAAGTCTGTGTCTGAGGTGGCAGGGATGCTGTCACCTCAGCGCACTGGGGTGAGGGCATCAGGAGGTGCAGGCTGTGACTGTGCCCTTCTACAGGCTGACACACTGTGGCTTTGAAGCTAAGCACGTAGAGCAGCTCTGCAAAGCACTGGGAGGAAGTGGCCACCTGGGTCGCCTCTGTGAGCTTGAGTAAGTGGCTGTACTTGGGAAGGTGGGAAGGTAGAGCAAAGCAGGATTAGTTATTGTTACTGGATACTTTTGTTGTTGTTACTTTTAAGGTTTTTGGATCAGCAAATTTTTTTCCTAGTGGAATAAGACCCCTTAGAGAATGAGATGAAAATTGGTACAGTTCCCTCTAAATACAGATCTCTTCCACATTTGACACCTTCAGAGCTCACTTCTCAAAATCCCAGGGGCCCACAAACCTCAGTATCAGAAACCTGTGTCACCCCAGTTGACCCTCTGCTGAGATATGGCCTGGTAGCCCAGGGCTGTGTTTCCTTTGTTTTTAGGATAAGTTGAAGAGGAGGGATGATGTTCTTGTCAACTACCTCTGAGAACACTTTCTCCTTGTTTTCTCTCAAAGCTTATCAGGCAATGCTCTGGGGGATGAAGGTGTCACCCTGTTGGCGCAGCTGCTGCCAGGACTGGGCACTTTGCAGTCCTTGAAGTAAGTAGCCAGGCTCTTTGTCCTCTTGGTACAGAAGACATGTGTGGAGCAGGTCTGAGCTATTGTAGAGGTTAAAGCGGAAGATGCATGTGGATCGCCGTATCCAGTGCCTGCATGTGGCAAATGCACACTAAGCAGCAACTAATACGATGACTCACATTAATACAGACTGAGGGAGCTCTGGTGGCCTAGTGGCAAGAAGCTATACTGCAATCCTAGAGGTACATGGTTCGTATCCACCAGATGCTCTGCTGGAGAAGGAGGGGCAATCTCCTCCAGTACCAGTCAGATCTGATTTGACAGTATGCACCCAAAATAATAAAATAAATTTTAAAAATTAAAAAAAAATACAGACTAGCCTCTGACTTCTAAATCCTGAAGCTTGATCCAGAAGAGGACAACACTGAGCTGCCTGTCAATCTGATCCAATTAAGTAGAGGCAAGGATTGGATCTTTAAACATACCTTCTTCAGGCATCAGTGATCTGAGGGAAAATAATGGCGTGGATGCCTTACAGACATTCTCTGACATCCAGAATCAAGCCAGGCCTTTTAAGGGGGTGGACAAAGAGTAAGGGGAAAGGAATGTGGAAAGCGTGTCAGAGGGAAGTGTCCAGGGATCTGATAAGGCTGTTTGCTCCATGGTGCCTCTTCTCCTGATGGTTGTCAGAGGTCCTGTGTTTTATGTTTGAGGTAGGTAGTTCTCAGATATCCTTGCTGATGCTGCATTCTTCAAGTAATGTCTGGGTTGTTTTGTTTTTGTTGTTGTTGCACTTTTAAAAATTTATTATTAATTTCAGTAAAAATTTACAGAGACTTTGGATTTCCATTCATTCATTGTTGCACTTTTCTCCCCTCCCAACTCTCCCCCCTAG